CGTATCCACAAAGATTGGTTCAATTTGTTGCTTCTATGAAAACCTATTTGTTCAAGCACTTGTAAAATGACAATAAAAATAAAAATAGGGGTTTTAATGTTTTAAAGTTTTAAAGAAATTAAATTTACACTAAGGTTTGGAGAATGTAAATAAACAAGTAGAAGATTTGATTTTAATTCAATGAGATAATTATAGTTGACATTGGACTTTCATTACTTGAACATTTGGTTAAATAATTATGAGAATACCAAGGTGCAATACTTATGTTTAAACCTAACTTGGCTATAACAATTTATAAGCATAACTTGCCTCAACTCTTCTTTTGTCTTAAAATGGCTAGAAAAGCTCATAACACATTTCGTAAATCAAAGTCACAAAACTAATGAAGAATGTAATTTTGTAAAAATCAATTAGCATTAGGTTTTAAGAGTCACCAAATCCAAAGAGTAATCCATTTCTTTTTATACCACTATGGAGAAAACAAATCCTTAATCTAAATGAAATGAAAACAAACATTAAAACTAATTATGCTTGTTAAATTGAAGACCCATTACTTAGCCAAGAATTTAAACCAACAAAATAGCATTCATATATCAATATTCATTACTAGAGATATATAAGCATGAAGAAAGTTTTTATAAAAAATATAATCATAGATATTCGACACAAGTTCATGTTGTTCTTCAAAATAACCAAGTCATTAGAGCAATTACATCCAAATCAACCAAAAGAAGTTTAGCCTAGCATGGTTTAACTAAAGAAACTAAAATAAAAATATATTGTACCAAGCATGTAGCAAGATTTCAGAGTGAAATGGTGATGTTCTTCAATAAGTTCTCAATGTTCTTCAAGCTCCAAACTCCAGAGAAAAAGTGTAAAAAATCGGATCTAAAAAATGTATGAAAAGTGAACCACCAACCATCCCATAATAGAGGTAAAAAGAAAAAACTTGGTTTCTTCACTGCACGTTCCACACGGATAGTGTGTAAATACACACAGATCGTGTGTCTGCTGTTGAGTGGATTAATTGGTCTATTTGCTTTGGTCTTCAATCTCCCTTCTTTTTGCCTTGGTCCAACCTATTTGTTGAGTTACCAAGAGTCCACATTTTCCTTTTAACTATCTTCAAACTAACCTACAACTTCTTTGATCATCCAAAGCTCCAAATCTCTTCACATGATCATCATTCTTCATCCAAGATTAAGTCTAATTTTGTTCCATCTTCTTTTTGACACCAAGCCCAATTATATTCTTTCTTTGCAATCTAAGCCCAAAAGTTCCATAGTTGAGTCCACGAGTACCGCAAGCTTCCAGTTTCAAGGTCTCGTGTTCCCGCCATCCTCCCCATTGAATAGCCTTCGATAAATCCTGCAGTTAAGCTTAAAAGACTATAAAGTACCTGATAAAGATTAAAAAGATATTGCATGAAGACTAACTAAAATGAGATGAAATGAGCTAAAATAAACTAAGGAAAGAAGTAAATAAAACAAAACTATCAGTAAACCAACTTGTAGTGATATCCATCAATTATATGCTCATCATTCAAATGTGCATGGCTTCCCTGGAATGCGAGGAAGCCTAGATTTGCTCCACTGGGAATGGGGCAATTACCTAAATGCATATAAAGGCCACTACACTTGAAGTGATCATGTTTATCCAACTATCATACTTGAAGCGGTGGCATCACATGGTTTGTGGATATGACATGAATTCTTTGGTTTGGCTAGTTCCCTGAATGACATAAACGTTCTTAACATGTCTCTGATATTCGGCGACAAGTATAACGAGATTGCAACATATTCTTCGTTTGTTGTGTATGAACGTCTTACAGGTTCAGGTATTATCTTGTGGACGAGATCTATCTGTAGCGTTCTTGTTTTGCGAAGACATTGTATTGTCCTAATGATTGAAAGAGATTGAAGTTTAAGAGAGCTTAAGAGAAGGCAATGAAGGATGTTGAACAAGTGTTTGGGGCTCTTAAAAAATGTTGGCATATACTAAAATACCATGCAGTTTTTGTTAAAGAGAAGAAAATGAGTGATGTGATGTATACTTCTATAATATTGCATAATATGATTCTCGAAGATGAAGTAAATGCAATATCTGAGTATAATGAAAACTAGATCGTTCCACTGACACAAACATTTGAGGTTGGAAGCGAAAAATACTTGGCAAGAAGAATAATAATTTATAATGTTGAGATCCATAATGATATTCGTAGAGACTTGATGGAACATATTTGGATCATTGACCACATCAATCTTAACGTGGAATCAGTCGATGATTTAGAATGTCAATTTTTTGATGAATATATCCTTTTGTATTAGTTATGGCGGTTTAAGTTTTTGTTTTTTTAATTATTAAAGTAGTTATGTTTATACGTTTTTTCGTTTTGAAGTGTGTAAGGTTGTAAGACTTTACATTTTATTATTATTATTATTATTATTATTTGTTGCAATTAAAAAAACATTTTAAAAAAATGTTAAATTTAAATTGATAAAAATGTGTGGCAACCAACCCAACCTAAATTAGGGTTGTAGTTGAGTTGAGCTACCCGGGATCGACTTGTTAAAAAATCGACTCGAGATCAAGTTAAACAAGCTCGAGCTTAGTTTTATGCTTATTTATTAAACGGGCTCGAGCTTGAGCTTCATCCGATGAGCTTGATTAGACTCGCGAGCCTAAACGAGCCTATGTATATTTATATAATGTAATTTTTATTTTTAATTTGGTATATTAAATTATAATTGAATAATTAAATATTGATATTAAATATCAAATGACGACAAACAAACTTTTAAAGAGCTTAATACTTGACTATTAACCGGGGCGAGCTCTGAGCTTACGCTCAAGTACTTTAAATCATCCACGAGTTTACTTGAGCTCTGAAAATTAAGCTCAAAACGAGTCGAGTTCGAGCTCAAGTCCCATGAATTTTAAACGAATCAAGCCCGAGCTGCTAGAGCTCGAGTTAGGCTTGACTCTTTTACTCCCCCTAACCTAAATGTCAAGATCTTGAAGAGGTGTGACAAAAATAAGGTGGCGTCTACGTGGTAACACTTTTAGTATGACAAATGTAACAACACTCCTTTTAGAATAAAATAAGTGGATAATTTTTTTCAAAGTTTTTTTATTTTGAAAATACTAATATCATATCTATTGTAAATAGATAGGATTATCATTGATTGGACTATCATATGTGATTCAACTGTTTACTTATTAATTTTAAGAATATCATTGGTTGGATTATCATTGAAATTAATTGCGTGATGTTTTTTATAAAACATTTCATATGATCTCGTTCGAGAAAACAATGTTTCATTCCAGTTTAAGATTTTGTGCTGAGTTTCACATAAATAAATTTTAGGTCCAAGTTTGTTCATTGTTAGTTGTGGGACTGACTTATAAATACACCAAAATGATCTTTATCTTTTTGTTATTATTCAAATATCTCTTATAGAAGTGGATTATGTTTAAAAGAAGGGCACACTTCATAGTTCATAGTACTTCATAGTTCATTGTTCATACGAGTACTTCAGATTCCATAGCCAATCATTTATAGAAGTCCCTTAACTACATGGCCCAATTTCATGCGACTCAATTAGAAATTTGAATCATGGCCCATATCCCTTTATCCTTAATTATTTTTCAAGAGAAATTGAAACTTTTATAAATTTGTTTTCTAAATAAACGATGATTGTTTTCTTAATCGCTATATTTTCTGAAGTTTATTATTATTATTATTATTATTATTATTATTATTAATATTATTTATTTATTTATTTATTTATTTATTTATTTATTTATTTATTTATTATTTTTTGCAAATTTTTATGTTGGCCTACAAATCATGATATTTGACTTGATGGGCATCTAAATAAGAGTATCCGTCAAACAATGTTTAAAAAAAAAGTTAATCTCATAAAAAAAAAACTTTATAATTTGTGTTTATTTTCATATTAAACTTGAGTTTTATTTCTTTCCTCTTTTTGAAAAAGGCCATGTATTTTTTTTTATTTTTTTACCCAACCCTTTTAGCAGTTGTTTTTTCCCCAAAAATAACTTGTAAAATGTGAGGGTTTTTTCAGAAAAAACTAAAACACTTAAAGGTTTTTCCGAAAACAATTAAAAAGTTATAGTTTTTTCTAAAAAAAACGTTAACGATTTTTAGGAAATAAATAAATTAATAAATAAAGTTAAGGTTTAATCTGAAAAGGAAAAAAAAAAACTTAACATATAAGATCTTTTATAAAATTAATCATTTAAAAAGTCTCACCAATGAAATACTTAGATATATCGGAGACTATATATTAATATTTTAAAATTTTATTACTTTTTTCGGCTTTTGATTAACTTTATTATATATACTTTATTACTTAGGTTATTTTGTTTGGAGTATCTATTGTGTTATTGTATACATAAATGTGAGCCAATCAAATTTACATATTTTAATAAGTAATTAATATTTATTATTGAATTAAATATAATTGAAAATATCATCTTAATTAATTATAAAGGTAATTCACTCAATTAATATACACTTAATAAAGGAAAATTGCATTTTTTAAGGGATAATAGATTCTATTAATTTTAAAAACCCGATTTTAAGAATTATAATTATTTTAATTCGGACATTCTGACAGAATACGTTTATGAGTATATTCAAAATTAAAAATATTCTTAAACCATAATTAATAAAAATATTCTTGAACCTATTTCTTGATCATGAATTTCAAAACTTATTGTAGAATAACAAATTCTTGAACAATCACTAGAAGAATAAAAACAAAAAATATATTATTTCTTATAGAATACGTGTAAAAATTGTTATTAAATACGTTTATTGTTAAAGAATAAAACTAAAAAACAATTAAAACCGGAAAGAATACATCAAAATCTAACAACGACTAATACATTCTAAAGAATAATGTGGTCCGTTTCAATTTTGTGGTCCGTTCTTCGAGCATCAACTTCTATGATTCCAACAGAATTGGAATTCGTCATTCCATTCCAATAGAATTGGAATTAGTGATTTCATCATCATTTTCCCGACTCTGTAAGTAATCAACATCTCCAACATATTCAGTGATTATTGTCCAGTCTTTGATACATTTATCAGCTTCTACGGTGAATCTGCAACAATAACATATATATATATATATATATATATATATATATATATATATATATATATATATATATATATCAAGAACACCAAAGGTTTAGGCACAAAAACCCACTTACCCTTCTACAGGATCAAAAACAACCATAAGTGGAGGGCATTCCCCTCTCCTCATCATGCTCTTGCACAGATTGAAGGCCTCAGTGTCTTCTCTTGATAAAACTTGCATCCCCTCTTTCTCATAAGCAGGACGATTAGGTGACCTAAGAGCCATGCCATGAATATATGTGAGCACATTACTGAACTCAGCTTCTATAGTTGTCAATGTTGTGGCAAGTGATGCCATTTGTTCTAGTCTTCTTGCAGGATCCTCACTTGGACTATATGGTAACAGCCTCCTTCTCTTCTTTGATGCCGCTATGCAATTTTTTTGCCTCCTTTTCTTGCATATATCTACAATCATATAACAAAACAACTCTTAACAATCTTTTTCTATAAAGCGATAAAGCATAAACTACATGAATAAATGATATCTTATCTATGTTGACAATATTCTTCAGCTGAGTTAGAGGACCTCTGGATGCGAAAAAAATCATTGATTTTTGTTTGAACCAACGGGAATCCTGGGTACATAACAAGAAATGACATTGTCAAAGGTAAACCAATCACTTCTGAAATCTGAACTGAACATCATGTACACATACAGCAATACATATATACGTAACCTTAAGAATATAATTCTATGGCTTGTATCCTAGAAATTGGGGGTTGTTTCTACTCAAGAATTTACCAAGAGATTTTACCCTATCAGTTACCTGGATTATCATTCTCATAATCAAGCGAATCAATTGCAATCGACGAGGAACCTGAATCGGGGATGAGGGTCGTCTCCTATGGTCGGAGGTAAGCAGCGTGGAGGGAACGCCAGTGTTGAGCATCGTCTCTGCTTCTTTCCCCTTCCTCTTCATCCGCCTAAGTCAAACCCTGGAGGCCATCACCGATTTCGAATCGATAAGATCAGCAGCCATCGGACCTCCTTCCTTCGCATCTCACAGCCAGAGAAGAACAACTGAAGAAAGCATGAGTGAGAACGAAGACGACGTGTACATTGATTCGGTTGCTAAGGTTTCTGTCCTTGCTGCTTGTTCTAGCACTTCAAGTAAGATCATTACAAAGAGTGTCCGAGGGGTCGTTGTCAAAAAGGGTTGATCACAGTTACGGTTTTAAAAGACGATGGGTGGCGAAAACTAAGTCAATTGTTACCTTAATTATAGGATATTATCTTTGGAAAGTAATTATCAAATTACCTATTTACCCTTATTTATTTATTTAATTATTTATTTTTATTTTAAATTTTGATTGGCCCACATTTATGCATACAATAACACGATAGTTACTTTAAACACCCGAACCTATATATATATATATATATATATATATATATATATATATATATATATATATATATAGTTACAAAACTTTTTAAAAATTATTTTAGAAAACTAACTTATCATTTATATACGACAAATCTTCAAAAATGGTCCTTGTGGTTTCCCAAAAAAAATGAGTTCGGTTCTTAACTTATTTTTCTTCAAGGATGATCGTTGTGGTTTCAATTTCTATCGTGTTTGGTCCCTCACCCATATAAAAAGACATTCAAACAATCAAGCATCAATTTAATAGAAACCAATCAGGCTCTGATACCACTGATGGGTTTTGTACATAAGAACATTCCTATGTGTGCATACAAACCCTAATGCTTGGATCTAGGTTTCTCTAATTAAACATGCATTGAATCCAAGACTCCTAATGGCTAATTACGTATAAGAACAATACAAAACCAGAGTTAGAAGCATACCTTGAAACACTTGTTTGATCTTCTTGTTCTTGGAGCTTTAGAGTCACAATTGTCACTCCTCTTATGGCTTACAAACACCAACTAGCAAAGAGAATGATTTGAGAGAGGAGAGAGGAGGAAATCGGCCAGGGTATCCTTGTTGTAGAGGAGGTGCTGATTTCCCTATCCCAAGGGGTCTATTTATACTTGTAAGGCTCCTAGGGTTTTACCCTTAAACCCTAATTGGATAACTTAGACTCTAAGTAATCCTAATCCTTACCAAAGATAAGCCATGGACGATTTTAGGCTTATCCTAGCCCTAGAAATCGTCCACCCTCTTTCCAATAAGGATTTACAGCCTAAAATGTAACTATCAAACAATTGACAGTTTATACCCTCTTATTTAATAAAATCTCTTTAAGTCACCAAATTAATACTAATTAATCTATGACTTATATTAATCAAATAACAATATTATTATTCATTATATTATTCTCATAATACATTAACAATATCTATTCTCTCATAATAAATCATCCTACCAAGTTTTCTATGGTGAAGGCAACCCAAAAGCACCATGCACAATCGGGTCAAATACTTGCCTAATATAGTTGCAGCCTTAGACACTATTCCAACAGTCTCCCACTTGGATAAGTCTAGTAACTATATGCACAAGTACAATCCGATTTGCAATCGTAGCTCTCAAAGACGCTGTCATAACTCTGATCTAATCAATCTTGTCCTTTAGATAAGAGATCGTACAGTCCTCTGTTAGATATCATGCTGACAATTCTATGGAATGATTAGTCTAGCATTTGGTTTCTCGATCTCCGATTTATTTGACATAGAACTTAATCGAACACATCAATTCAGTTCTGACCGGGCCCGACACATAAGTCAAATCAAATCATCGAGCGGCCGAGATATCACTTTTTCCTTCTTAGGATAAAAGTTACAGATAAAGTTTGACATATATGCATTTACTTATTCATTAATCAACTATACACAACAATGTGTTTTATAACATCGAGTTACCAATGCGTTTTCGCATTATCAATGTACAATCAATTAGCAAATAAAAAACCATATATCTAGGTTTTAATACTATATGATATTATCGTCTTGCGATCACCCTTTTTATCACATTCCATAAGGTGATTCCAGCAAGCGCGGGTTTGTTCCAATGCTCAAAACTAGTTCATAAGCACTCATGAACGTTGCAACAATCTTTTGCTATATCTAAAACCATTTAGACAATCTACACACCTATTCATGACAATCTTCATTCATATCTACTTCCAACATATGAACGATTGTGGACAATTTGAACAATTCGATTATTCTTAATAAACTCAATTATTCTGGAAGTCAAAACATGCAAAGTGAAACAATAGTTAAACAATTAACATAAGACAGTAACATTACTTATAAATAAAACTCCTTTATTTAATCATCAAATGTTAATTACATTTATCTATTATACGTTTCTAATACTATCTAATCTATGCTAATATCATCCTTCAGCCCAATACTCCTAGCATGCTGCAAATGCTTAACCCTACTCAGTCCTTTCGTAAGCGGATCTTCTGATGATATCCTCTTCACTACGAGTTGTCCTTATTCTACACGATGTCTAATAAAGTGATATTTTCTGTCGATATGTTGTGATCTACCATGATCTCTTGGTTCCTTGGTCAAGGCAACTGCCCTTCATTATCACAGAAAATCTCCATGGGCTCCTTTATGGCAGGTACAACTCCAACATCACCAATGAAGTTCTTCAGCCATATTGCCTCCTTCAACGCTTCGCTCGCTGCAATGTACTCTGATTCGCACGTTGAATCAGCTACGGTTTTCTGCTTGGAACTTTTCCAAGTTACTGCTCCTCCATTCAGGGTAAAGACCCAGCCCGACTGCGAACGGTAGTTGTCCCTGTCGGTCTGAAAGCTGGCGTCACTATACCCTCGCACCTTCAAGTCATCACTCCCTCCAAGGACTAAGAACCATTCCTTCGTCCTCCGAAGGTACTTAAGGATATTCTTCACCGCAATCCAATGCTCTCTGCCAGGGTTCCCTTGATATCTACTAACCATGCTCAAAGCAAAGGCTACATCAGGGCGAGTACAAGTCATAGCGTACATGATTGAGCCAACTGCGGAAGCGTATGGAACTCGGCTCATTTCAGCTATCTCAGCTTCAGTACTCGGACTTTGAGTCTTACTCAACTTGGCATTGCTTTGTATCGGTAATTCTCCCTTCTTTGAGTTTTCCATACTAAAACGTTTTAGTACCTTCTCTAAGTAAGTGTTTTGACTAAGTCCTATTAGTCTCTTACTTCTCTCTCTTACTATCCTTATTCCCAAAATATAGGAAGCCTCTCCGAGGTCCTTCATAGCGAAGCACTTTCCGAGCCAGGACTTAACCTCCTGCAGAGTCGGGATGTCGTTTCCTATGAGTAATATGTCATCGACATATAGAGCGAGGAAGCTTACTACACTCCCACTGGATTTGACATATATGCACGATTCATCTTCGCTTCGTACAAATCCAAACTCTTTGACTTTCTCATCGAAGCAAAGATTCCATCTGCGACACGCTTGCTTTAGTCCATAAATGGACTTCTCAAGTTTACACACTCTATTTGGATGCTTCGGATCCACAAACCCCTCTGGCTGAGCCATGTAAACATCCTCAGCCAACTTCCTGTTAAGGAAAGCGGTCTTGACATCCATTTGCCAAATCTTATAATCATGAAATGCGGCAATAGCTAGCATCCACATCGGTCTTCTTCTTGAGTAAATGCCTTTGCAACCAATCGCGCTTTATACGTGTGTACCTTTCCATCCACATCGGTCTTCTTCTTGAAGATCCATTTGCACCCAACGATCTTACGTCCATGCACATTATCAACCAAATTCCAAACTTGGTTATCATACATGGATTGGATCTCACTATCCATTGCCTCTTTCCACTTTGCAGACTCCGGCCTGCCATGGCTTCCTTATAGCTATTAGGTTCATCAAGGTTTATTAGTGTCCTATCACTAATATATGTGTCCCCTTCGGTAGTAATATGATAACCATACAATTGGGGTTGAACTATAACTCTTTCGGAACGTCTAAGAGGTAATGATACGTCAATTGGTTCAACCGGAGTTTCCTCCTTGGGTTGAGCGCCAGCGGTAGAGGTTCCTTCATCTATCGACTCTTGAATCTGTTCAAGATCGATTTGCCTCCCACTGTCTCCTTGGCCTACGAGTTCTCGCTCTCGGAAAACTCCTCTCCTCGCAACAAAAACAACATTATCCTTCGGTCTATAGAAGAGATATCCAAAGGATTTCTGCGGGTAGCCGATGATAATACATCGCTCACTACGAGGTTTTGAGCTTGTCGTGAGTATCTCATCTTACGAAAGCCTCGCAACCCCAAACCTTGATATGTGCTAATGAAGGATCTTTCCTCGTCCACATCTCGTGAGGTGTTTTGGCAACCTTCTTAGTAGGGACTCGGTTAAGGATATGGGTGGCAGTCTCTAAGGCATACCCCCAAAAAGAGATAGATAGTGAAGCACGACTCATCATAGAGTGAACCATTATCCAACAAGGTTTGATTACGCCTTTCTGCCACACCATTCAATTGTGGTGTCCTAGGTGGCGTCAATTGTGAAACTATTCCACACTCCTTGAGATAATCATGGAATTCAAGACTTAGGTACTCTCCTCCTCGATCGGATCGAAGCATCTTGATCTTCCTGCCCAATTGATTCTCCACTTCATTTTTGAACTCTTTGAACTTTTCAAAAGTTTCTGACTTTTGCGTGATTAAGTAGATATACCCATATCTACTATAGTCATCGGTAAAAGTCACGTAGAAGCGGTTTCCATCCTTCGTGGTAGATCTAAACGGTCCACACACATTGGTATGTATGAGGTCCAATAGACCCTCACCCCTTTCGCACGTACCAGCGAAGGGTGACTTAGTCATCTTTCCAAGTAAACAAGACTCGCATGTGTCATCTTCCCTAAGGTCGAATGACTCCAACACTCCATCCTTTTGGAGTTGGGCTATGCGTTTCTTGTTGACATGTCCAAGACGACAATGCCATAAAGATGCCTTATCCATACTATTGGAA